TTCTAGCATAATTGTTGTTAGAGGGTTGGTTAAAGTGTAAGTTATTGTTATTTTAGTTATAATATTGTGATTTGTGAGGAAATTTGTTTACATTTTTTTGGACACCAAATTACCTGTCAGACCTCAGTGTAGCCCCTTTAATGTGTAAATGGTAGTAAAGGAAGGAATTTTTGCTGCGACCAAATTTACCAGAATTATGGCCCTTTGTTGATTTTTTCACTATATAGCGTATAGGAATTTGTGAACACAACTCTTAAACCAGATGGCAGATTTTAATAAAAAGTTCCACATAAAAATCTTACATACAGATATGCATGCTCTTGTTTACGAGCACATCTGCACAGTGGGGGCATCCGTGTCCTTTGGACACAATTCTAGTTTTTGTAGTAAATTACGAAGGTTTATATAGCGCTTTAAAATCGCTGCCCGTTTTGCTAAAGGAACTTATGAAGAAGTTGATAAGACGTTGGAGTGTACGTAGTACTAAATAACGAATTATGTTATAGGACTAGCACGAATGGGCGCCTGAGTAGAACCACCGACGTTCCGTAAGCTAGCTGGATAGCTTCCTCACATGAATGAATCCAAAGTCCTGTCGCAGTGATTTTTTTTCCTGCATTTTACAGCCGAATAAAGGCTGTTTCCCCTAGCCGTAAATAGGTATATTTTCCCCTAAAAATGCTACTATTTTCCCCCTAAAATGCCCTTTGCACATTTTTCATTAGAGCCATTACTTAACAGCAGCTCACTTATATCAGCTTAAGACAGAAAACTGTCCCTACAGATAGCCCCTGCATGTATCATGGATGTTAAATTGAATTGAAATTGAATATTCTAAAACATGTGTCACTGTGGGTAAACCATTCTCAGTTAGAATTTGATTTTCCCCTTTTCTGATTTAACACGCTATATTTTCCCCGTCAGAAAGCCACAGGTTGTTTTGAAAATTGAAAAAAAAATCACTGTGACGGGATTCGAACCCACAGCGGTGAGAGGCAAGTGGTTTCGAGTCAACGACTTTAACCTGTTAACAACTCGGCCACGTTATTAAAAAATCTTAATCCAAACCCAATCAATTGTATTCCAAACTTCCCCATTCGCCAAATGGATATATGAGACAAGTTTTTGCATTCCATTTCTCTGTCTATGCCGTCACTATACTGTGCAAATGCTGGGATTTATTTAGACGCCAAAACAGGCCGTGTCTGGCCAAAAGTTAGGAAAATGACGTTTCTGTATTAAGGGGAAGTAACTTGTATTGTTAGCTGTTATTGTATAGGAATCCAATCGCGTTCATCTAGATTATAATTATATTAGGGGCACAGGCACTAGACACAATTATTTTACCCATATACGCTCATAATTCTATATATAAAGAATATATTCTTATATAAAGAATATATTCTTTATATACTGGATAGTATTATGAGCGTAAATGGGTAAAATAATTGTGTCTAGTGCCTGTGAGACCATGGTAATACATCTAGATCTATGTATAAAATTTTAGTATATGTATTTAAAAAAAATATCGTCTACAAGGAGTTTGAGTAAAAAGGGGTTGAGTGCATTAAGATGGAATTTGGATATTTCCGCGGTGTAAGTTGGCCACTGTGAGACTTCAAACAAAAATATTTAGACTGGTAAATACATGTAGTGGTCATACAGTGTTAATTATAATATAAAATATATCTATAAATTGTAATATAAATCGGTGAGGTGTAACACGGCGCCTTTCCCATTTTCTCAATATAACCACGGAATTACACTTCAACTGAACCCTTATAACTTTTTAAATTAAGATCAGGAAAGCCCCTTCTAACTTTTTTTTCGTTTTTTTTATCAATTTTAATAATTTTGATATCAAATTAAAGATTACTTAATAAGATTTTAGGGATGCCTTAAAAAAAATAATTAAAATTAATTGAGTATAATATGTCAGGAATGTTTATAAATATGAATATATATGTTTGAACTTTCCAACAAGAAGAATAACTTAAAGATACAATTGTAATAGATTGTGTGCCGATAGCCTCCCTTTTCAACGCCAATATTTGAGAGCTGAACTTTTTGGATCGTTCACTGTTAAGACCCAAACCTCACCTCAACTTTGCACTTGACTCAGTAACTTTGAACATTTAAATACCAGTCGGACTTCTGTGTCAATATAAAAAATAAGTTTGTTTCCATTATAAAATGAATTAAACAAATTACATTTAAGAAAATTTCTTTATTCGTGTGTAAATTGTTCAAGTTTTATAGGCCTATATATAATTGAAATGAATGTCTCATTCGCCGTAAAATGTTTAAAGTTGACCCTTTGATTTTATTATTGGTACACTTTATTCTGCATACTGTAGACACATGAAAAAACATTGACTCAAAACAAATAAAAAAAATTTAAAGAACATATTAATACACATAATCAAAAATATTTTTTTTTATCATTTTTTTTATCATTTTCATTATATAAAATTTAAAAATAAAGACAGTATAAAAGAAGTCTTACATACATAATGAAATTATCAAGAAGTACAAAATGAGGATACAAAATGCACTGGCGTGCTGATTTTGTTTGTGTGTGTGCGTGCGTGTGTGTGTGTGTGTGCGTGCGTGTGTTGATTTTTATATTTCCTTATAAGATTTATTGAGATTTGATATAATTAAAAAATACATCTTTACACGAGCTCTATCCTTTATGAGAAGGTAAACTTTTACGCCAGAATTTCTCTTAAAATGTCTCAAAAATATTTTAGTTCAGATTGCGCATGCTTTCCAATACTGGCGTAACATTTTGTGCAAACAGTGTCACCGTTTCTCTCCCCTTTATGGTATAAGCTGCAATGATTCTGTATTTCTTTCACTTTTGATCGGACTACTTTTCCCGACTTCTCCAATAATTTCAAACGGCGTATGAATACACTCGTTGTCGTAACAGCCGGTAAATCCCAGAACTCCCGAACATTTTCGAGCATGTCGGACGGTGTTTTTGCTGCCGTTTCAAAAGTAGCCCTCTGTAAGTTCTCGAGGCCATACTTCTCAGAAATATTCATACACCGGACTATTTTTTCTGGATTTGATGTTGAGGCGTTACCTTCAATGTCTTTAATCAAGTACTCCTCGCATTTTTCGACCAGTCTCCTCACTTGAAATTCATCAGCTAGTGGCAGGACGATTTCTACGTTCTCCTCTAAAAACAAAGATAATATTATTTGAGACATTTTATCAAACGACGGAATGAAATCTTATATCATTTTATTTTCGATCACCCTTTCAAATCTTTGAGATAACCTCATAAAGTGTCTGCATCATAAATGTCCGGCAGCTAAGCCCAAGGAGAGCATTGTTTTTGTAATCCAATGGTGACTGGTTCGATTCTCGGGCAAGACGAAATTTCTACGTGACAGTTTTATCTCGGACATAGAGTCCATTGGTTATTTGTCTCTTACCGCTGATTCAGAAATAGTCGGTTACTTGATAAGAAATTTGTAAATTGATGCCATAATTTACCGGATATCGGTAAAAAATTTGTACTACATATTGATGCCATAATAAGTATCATGTGGGTGCCATAATTCACATGTACCTGATACCAGTGCCAAAATTGTTTTATTATTGATGCGTTAAAGCGAAATTTATGTTGATATATTGACGCCATTGAACCTGATATTTGTGCTGTACTTTATCTGATATTTATGCGTCAACTTAAAACTTATATCGATGCTATTGGTGCCAAAATTCATTTGATATTGGTGCCAAAATTTATTTGATATTTGATGCCAAAATTCATTTGATATTGATGCCAAAATTTATTTGAAATTGGTGCCAAAATTCATTTGATATTGGTGTCAAAATTTATTTGATATTGATGCCAAAAATAATTTGATATTGGTGCCAAAATTTATTTGATATTGAAGACAAAATTCATTTGATATTGATGCCAAAATTCATTTGATATTGGTGCCAAAATTCATTTGATATTGATGCCAAAATTCATTTGATATTGGTGCCAAAATTCATTTGATATTGGTGCCAAAATTCATTTGATATTGATGCCAAAATTCATTATATATTTGTGCCAAAATTTATTGATATTGATGCCAAAATACATTTGATATTGATGCCAAAATTCATTTGATATTGGTGCCAAAATTCATTTGATATTGATGCCAAAATTCATTTGATATTGGTGCCAAAATTCATTTGATATTGATGCCAAAATTCATTATATATTTGTGCCAAAATTTATTTGATATTGATGCCAAAATACATTTGATATCGGTGCCAAAATTCATTTGATATTGGTGCCAAAATTCATTTGATATTGGTGCCAAAATTTATTTGAAATTGATGCCAAATTTATTTGAAATTGATGCCAAATTTATTTGAAATTGATGCCCAATTTCCCGATATACATGTAGATGTTTTATTTTACCTGATATTTGTGCTATATTTTTACCTGATATTGTACCTTTGTTAACATTATATCGATGTTATAAAATAATAAATCTTATATTAATATTAAAACTCACCTGTTATTGGTGCCATGATATTCGGGTAGATGCAGTTCAAAAAATGGACCACATCTGTATACTTTTTCCCCGACAACGGCAAATCAACATTATTTTCTGAGTTCTTTATTTCAAACAACCTGAAATAATAATGACAATATTAAAAGGGTCTTTTTTGCAATTATACAAATCAAATAGGATATTGTTTTAATTTCTTGCATTGAGTTAATGAATAATGAACCTTTAAACTGCTAAATTTGTTTAATGAATTTGCCATGCCTTGTGTTTGGAACAATTTAGGGGATTTTGATACCAAAAGACAAAAAAGAAAGAGCTACGAAAGCATAGAGTGTGGCTATACTTAGCCTGGCTTCCAACCGGTGGCAATTGCTGCTCACTTTTTGTTCCAGCAGATTAATGGCCCAATTATTTCTACGCATAACATTTGATAAATTTTCTTAACAAATTAACACAAACTGTAATAATGCAAAAATAAATCATTTTCTGGACGCTTTTGAAAAATGATATGAATAATTTGCTATTTATTTCTCTGTTCTATTTTGAAAAATGATAGTAATATGAACAATTTGCTATTTATTTCTCTGTTCTATTTTGAAAAATGATAGTAATATGAACAATTTGTTATTTATTTCTCTGTATTCTAGATGCATCTGTCAAAAGACATTTCATTGCGTTTCTCAGTCACAAACATACTTTGGTCGTCTTAAAGTGTCAGGCATATGTTTTTACTCATATTAATGTCATCTAAATCACTTCTATAAGTGTTATTGTATTAGCTAATACATGCACATTGTCAATTTACCACTATATGTGTAATGAATTGTATTTTCTTCAGTTCATCACAGCACTCGAGCCATATCTTGTACAGATCAAATAAATCATTCCCAAAAGAGACACATATTACAGAAAATAGCCGCACATAAATCCCAAAGAAAACACAAGACTACAAACTGAAGCTAAATAAAACACAAGTTTGTTACCTTTTCATAACAGGTGACACCAGTGACAGGACAACTCTGGATACATATAACGGTTTCCTTTCCACAATCAGTCGCAGATCCGACGTGTCATTTGAATATTTGAAATGGGCATCCAGCTCTTCAGCTTCTCCTTTAACTGTCCTGTTTTCGTCAATTGAGTCGTCTGCTTCAGAATTCGTTAAATTATCGCCGTCAGCATCTATATCACCGTTAGGAGTATCAGGCGCCTCATCTTTTATTGAACCGCTCATTTTTATCCCTTCGGAACTTTAACACTTAATGGATACTGTCACCACATTTGATTTTGTTCGTTAACGCCCTAGTCCGTCTTTAATATTTACACCTTTTTCGAACAAGTAATCAGAGTTAGTAGCTGAAATATTTGCACTTAGGCGATAATGAACAAATGTCCATAGCTTAAGTATTTACTAATATCCGACGGACACTATTTTATTGTTTATAACTGTTTATTTATCAAATCGACAATGAATCAAACTGATAGCTATTTATTCTTATTTGTCTTTACACTACTTTTTACTTCAGAGATATGTTTAACCTGACCTAGACCCTCGACAAAATATGTTTTAAAAGGTCAAATATATACCGTAGAAATTTCTTTGTTTTTCACAATTAAAGTTTATATCGGTTAACTACCGTAACCGTCACAGTATTCGGATATAAACAATCCTCGTCTCTATTTATATCGAGCAGTATCATTAAAGTTATTTGTTAAATCTTTTACGCATGGCTCCTAATTGTAAATAAAAATATAGACTAAATTTCAAATTATCTAGTTTTATCGCTTGGTTCATCACTCTAGCTCTAAATAACAAAGTTAATTAATCAAAACTATAAATAACACGCACGTATTTGGAACAATTTGTTTCCGATCAACTGCAAATTGTTTATTTCTTATCTTATCAAACTTATGCATTTTAAAACATAGCTTTTTCATGATGCAACTATTGATAATGCTCGGGGATGTCTTTGCTTAATTATGATAAGCAATATAACAGAATAAATATGAAACAACATGTATTAAAGTGCATTGTGTTGGAAAAAGTGACGATATTTTTAGACATCATTCTATCAATTATATTTTTCAAACTTTGCCATTAAGGCAATGACTGTTTATGCTGGTATCGCGAGTATTACCTAAGGGGCTAGCACATTGTTGTTGTTGTTTGTTTTTATTTTTTGTTATGTCCATAAACATGTTATAATGGGCGGTATATTAAGGTTTCAACAGTGATAAGTCGCTACATGTACTACTTGAATGTTTCATAATAATTACTTAGCATTAAAAACTCTAACTCACGGTTATTTTAATTCCATTCACTAAAATCCTTAACCTTTTCCCGTTGAATTTGTTCGTTTGTTTGTTTGATTGGGTTTAACGTCACACCGACATTTGGCGACGTTCCTGCTTTACTGGTGGAGGAATACCTCAGGTGCCCTTCCGTGCATTATTTCAGGCACGAACAGGCACCTGAGTAGAACCACCGACGTTCCGTAAGCTAGCTGGATAGCTTCCTCACATGAAATAATCTAAAGCTCCTGTCGGGATTCGACCCCACAGCGGTGAGGGGCAATTGGTTTGAAGTCAACGACTTTAACCACTCGCCCACGGACGCCCCCTGCTGAATTTGTATAGCCTTACATTGAATTAGTTGTCAAAGATATTTCAGTATACATGTAATAATAATAATAATAATAAAAAGACAAAAATAAAAAAAACTGAAATTCATTTTAGTAACAGATAAGAGCAGACTGCTCGGACATGCCGACGGGACCTGACTCGATGCTGATGGCATAGGCATGTTGTTAAAAAATACATACAATATCTTACTGCCTCCCCCCCCCCCCCCCCCCCCCCACACACACACACACCACCACCACTAAATTTAGATATTTTGTTCGAAATAACTGATGAAATCATAGCAACCCCCGTGTCAAATACTTCGGTATAACATAACAAAGGAATCAGTCTAATTCTTTAGTTTATATTTTTAACTTCTGTAGAATATATTTTAGTAGATAAGAAAAACGGATATAAATATTATACTAGTACGAGATGTTCACTAGTATACCTACCACTCCCTCATTAGACTCATTAGGTAAATTCATATACATTGCACCCATCCGAAGTTTTTGAAAATGATGATGATGATTTTTTTCTAGATCATTACTATTTTTCACGTCCCTTAATTAAATGATAAGCGAGGAGCTTTTTAATCAAACATTAGAATTTGAAAATGTAGTCAGAAAGATAAAAGAATAAAAGCTAGGGAATAAATATTCCCTTTGGTCTTGTCATTGGTCTTTTATGTACATTTATCATAGCTGTTCCGATGAAAATCTATCATAGTATATCTAGTATATCTATATATGTACCTTTAATTGTACATGCAGGAAGTAAGCTTTTTTATCTCAGGCATATTTTTAGTACTTTATGTCATTCGGAAAAGCCACACTTTCCAAAGAAAAATACGATGATAGGCATCTACTGTTTTAATTAATAATATATTAAAGACATAATTTGTTTTGTTCATTTTTTTTTCAAGATTGAAATATTATACTCTTAATGGATTTGACCTTTAACTAAAATGTGTGTTAACTAATTTCACTAAATCGAAACAAGGAAGTTTACCGGTTTTACCAAACAAATTTTGCAAGTGAAAATAGCAACACTTCACTGAAGTACCAGCTTTATATTTTTATTTAAATTGTTTTATCAATATTTATATAAGCTTTCTTTAAACATAAGCTATACACTTCATACGATGATTTTAAACGTACTGAAAAAGATATAGATCGTGCACATTGTGTGTTTATTTTTAGAACATATTTGTAGAGGGATTTTCTACTTTCTGTTTAACTACTAAGCAAGTTTAAACACCTGATTTATCTAAAAAGGTAAATACTGTATTTTCATTTCGTTTCCTTATGGTTACCAGAAAATATATTTACAAACAATTAAAGGAATTACTTGGCTAAAAGATATCATACATGTTATAAAGTAAGGTTACATTTAAACGACTTGTGGAACAGAAATATTATTCAATTTTTTGTTGTTTGTCAGGGTCATTCTTTTAAACATGTTTATGTGTTGTTTGGCAAAGTTATGTGACAGAAATTAACTTTATTGTGTTTTATGCCGTTGACTTTTCAGAAAAAAAGATTTTTGCAATACAAAATTATGAAACGAAAGTACATTTCTTTCTCTTTTTGTAGACTATTCAGATCGCTTTGAAAAGATGATACTGTCCTATATATTAGTATATGAGATTCACCAGCACCAGTAACACAGCCATGCTGCCCAGAACTATGAGGCAGGACATTTATTGACATTTTGCAGAAAAATTTCTACACCATTTTTGACCAGCTACATTTAGTGAATTGATTTCTTTGAATGACGAACATTTTTGCCATTTTCTTTTAAAAGTGAATGAATCAGGACATTGAATAGTTTAGTGAAATAAAACTTAAGAAAAGAAAATATTCTTGAATTAAACAAGCTTTTAAAATGTGAGTCTTTGAAAGCATTGTATATTGTATTACAACACACTACAATAATCAACGTTAATATCTACGTAAAAATGGCAACAGCAAATTTTGGTATTCCTGATTTTGAATATCTGGAATCACATAGCAATAATTCTGCAAAAGAAGATTGCTGCTATAAGTGAATCTATGAATGATGACCTAAGTTCTGAAAGTGACACTAAAGAAGTATACATTTCAAGTGATGATATGGTCGATAGTACTGAATGGTCTATTGATTCCTGTGAATTTGCTTTGGATGGTAACATAGATACAAGTAATGTTGAACAACTTCTTGATATATCAGTTGACATTGATACAGACAATGTTGGAATTGACACAGCCGTTTATAATGTCATGAATTTAGATAATGAGATAAATGAATTTCAAGAAACATCAAGTGTGCTCAATGACTATGAATCGCCCGTGTTTTCTAATTTACCAAACTTACCTACTGCGGGTTTGTTTGGTGTGACGGATAATAATGAAATGCCGATAGCTGAAGCTACTGAGTCCAGCTCGGCTGTACAAAGTGAAACTTTGTCACCAACAAACCTTCCAAATTTTACTGAAATGGACTCAAATACATCACACGGTACTGTTAGCGAGAATAAGAGAGCAAATGAAGAGGGTCCAGTCCATAGCCGGGACTATATGCCAAAACTTGAAGTTCTCACTGAACGGTTTGGTACTTCCTTTACTTTAGGGCGTACAGATAACGGACCTTCAGGTTGTGAAAGGCCCAGAAACAATGTAAAAACATACAGAAAACGAAGAATTCGAAGGAAATCTAAACATTGAATCAGTATGGTACATATATCTCAACATATACCCGCACTTAAAACAATTTGCCATTCCATCTACATTACAAATGGAAAGTCACATAAAATCTTGTATTATAATGTTTCTTATAATCAGTTCAATGAAAACAAACGTTTTTTTAATGTTTCTTATACTATTTTACAGAACATGTTGTGAATTTTATTTTGTAAATGTAGAAGACATAATTTAGTAAGCGTTTGTTTTCTATCTTTGTCATTAAATTATGTTTTCTTCCTATGTGTCATAGCCAGTTTCCGAAATGAACTGAAACAATACATTGTACGTAGATCAAGGTAATTTACTGCTTGACCATTCTGTTGTCTGATATTTGGTTGTCCACTGTTTTATGCAGATTAGATATACATGTATATGTTTCAATAACAAACTTTTCCAAACTTTAAGTAATAAAGCGTTTAATTTTCCGTATTGTTTGTTCTTGTATTTTCAAGGTGTAGACGGGTTCTTACACAAGATCAATGTGATATTAGATAAAATCTGTTGAACAGCCTGTACCGTTGTAGTTAACAATACCTAATTAGTCTTGGACCATAAGTGATGCCATGAATATACAACCATATCCGTTATGTCGTGAATTATCTCACAGATTGCGCAATTGGTGTCAAACATGGCGGGAGTAATTTAATTCATCTAGCAAAAAAGTATTCAATTGACTTTTTAAGATAATCATACCTAGATCAAAGTGAAAATTCATATCTTCGGTCACTCATTGACATATTTAAAGGCGGTTTACTTCCCTTTGGTTAAATACTGGATTCTTCAATAATATACAAATTAATCAAAGGATATGTCCTCTCTGTTTCACTGACCTAGATGATGAATATCACATTCTAATAACTTGTACTTACTTTAATACAGAACCAGATGTATTGGTGAAAAAATCCTTCATGTGAAAAATTAATATCTGTTCTAAGAAACGCATATATAACGCCATAGCATCTTTCTTCACGATGTTCTACGAAATTATCTTAAAATCTTTTAACTGACTATCAATGCTTATATTACACTATTCAATGTATAATTGTATTTTAAGTGCATTGTTTTGTGTGTTAAATTGTCGGAGGCATATGTTACAAGAATAAACTTTAAATAACATATCCGTTGCAAGACGATGATATTTCAAATACAAGTATGACATATTGGGTTAAAATTAATGTTTTCACTTTAACTATTTTGAATTTTACACAAGATAAAAATATCTTGAATGAGTATTCTTATTATGAATCAAGTAAACTATTGACTAAATTTCATGATTTAAATTGGAAGACAGTCCGTCCGTCCGTCACACTTTCGTGTCCGGTCCATAACTTTGTCATTTATCAAAGGAATTTGAAATACATGTAATTTGGCACAAATGTTTGTTATAATAACACGATGTGTCATGCACAAACATCAGACCCCTACCTCCAGGGTCAATGTCAAACTTGCTCTTTCAAGGTAAACAATGTCTATTTGAGGGTTTATGTCGTGTCCTTAACTTTCTTATCTTTTGTAAATGTTTGCCACAATTGTTCACAATAATGAGGCAATGTGTCATGCGCAACAAGCGGTCACCTGCCTCCAAGGTCAATGCCACACATGTAGGTCAAAGATTAACATAGTCTGTTATAGGGTATATTTTGTGTCCGGTCCATAACATTTTCATAGATCAAAGGATTTTGAAAATACTTGGCACAAATAGTCACTATAATAAGAGGATGTGTCACGCGCAACACCTGCATCATAGTCTCTTATAAGGTATATTTTGTGGCCGATCTAGAACTTCTTCATAGTTCAAGGGATTTTGAAATAACTTAGCACAAAATGTCAATATACAAGTAATAAGATGTTGTGTCATGCGCAACACAGACACTTGGGGTTTGGAGCTCAAAACGCCTTTAAAATCCAAATAAAATGCATATTTGTCAATCCCAGCACATGTACTGATCATACATATCAAAAAAACTTAATATAAGCCGTTTTGAAAAAAATTCATATTTCAACATCTATAATAATACACAAGATAAAAATGTTCGCCGGAAAAAATCCGCACCCCTACCGTCATAATCACCATGTATTTTATTCCATTTCCAATATTTTCGCATAATCCTTTGGTCCATCGACACAGAAAATATAATTCTTCACGATGATGGCCAATTTTTAACTTCAACGGTAATATAAACAACGCAACAGCCGAAATAAATATCAAGATTATCGCCGTTTTCCTTCAATGACATTATCTTTCGATAAATTCAAACGTGCCAGTCGGCTATGACCGAAGCCATCCGAAAATGTGGCCCCCAGCTTTGCCGTGTGCAAAATGCGCAGCGCTTTTAAGTTTGGGAACCACATAATCGGATGGCTTCGGTCATAGCTGACTGACACTGTCACAATGATAAGGTGATATGTCATGCATAACACCTGTGTCCCTACCTCCAAGGTCAAGGTCACACTTAAAAGTCAAAGATTTACATAGTCTGCAATAGAGTATATTTTGTGCCCAGTCCATAACTTTTTCATAAATCAAGGGATTTTAATAATACTTACAAATAATCTCAATGATAAGACGATATGTCAGGCGCAAAACATTGGTCCCTACCTCCAAGGTCACATATTAACATAGACTGTTATAGAGTATATTTTGTGTCCGATCTATAACTTCTTCAGGGGCGTCCGTTGCCGAGTGGTTATGGTCGTTGACTTCAAACCACTTGTCACTCACGGCTGTGGGCTCGAATCCCGACAGAGACTTTGGATTTTTTCATGTGAGGAAGCTATCCAGCTAGCTTACGGAACGTCGATGGTTCTACTCAGGTTCCCGTTCGTGCCTGAAATAATGCACGAAAGGGCACCTGAGGTCTTCCTCCACCAGTAAAGCTGAAACGTCGCCTTATGACTTATAATGTGTTGGTTTGACGTAAAACCCAATTAAAAACAATTAAAAACAAAAACTTCTTCATAGTTAAGGGATTTTGAAAATACTTGGCACAAATAGTTACAATAATAAGACGATATGTCATGCACAACACCTGCTGCACCCCTACCTCAAAGGTCAAGGTCATACTTAGAGGTCAAAGTTTAACATGATAGATTTTTAAATTCTGTGTTTCATTTTATTTCTTTAATAAATTTGCAGATCTAGTATTGATTATAATTTTTGACTAAAAGTCCTAAGAGTCATACCTCAATCTTTTGAAATAGTACAATTGTATGCTTCATATAAAACTTCCCTGAGGCGGGGGACGTTTGTAACTCTGTTACAAATTCATGTTGATTCTAAAATGAGTATTGCCGATTGCCCAATACAGAATATAACTAGAGAATGAAGATAGTTCATTGACCTATTAAATACATTATACAAGTGTCAATAATAACAGCACTACCAAATTACGCATTTATACAATTATGAATACACAATGTATTTGGCATATGCGTGTATATAACAAGGAGAGGGACATGTAAAACAATTTGCTATTTTCATTAACTAACACGAAATCTGCATACAATGATATGACTATATGAATAAAGTTGGAAACTAAACACCAATGCAAATGCTATTTCTGTACATGTACACACATGGTTACATGTACTTGTCACGTATACAATTTATTTGTTGTATTATAAGGTATTATTGTTTTAAAAGACAATATCCGTTATATATAAGCTATATAATATATGAAGCCATGACATCGCAATGCAAGCAATTTAAAGATAGCTAGTCCTAATTCATGTATATGAATAATAAAAGATTTATAGGATAAAATAGTCACGTTTTGGTTATTTTTAAATCTAAGTTGAATCAGGGTATTTTCTGTTTGAAAGACCCTAGCCGGTTGAATGCATCTTTTTTCTCTGAATACAGACGCATAACTATTACTTATGTCATGTTACGCTTAATTCGTCAGCAACTGAATTTCTTTACCACTGCAATCATACTTCCGCCTTGCTTGTATCAACTTTGTGTAAATGATTTTCGTCTTTTTAAGGATTTAACAAAAGGTATTTTATTTACATATTTCTCAACATTTAACATTTAACCCATTATTAAAGTTTTTAAATTGTTTGAAATAAAACATGAAATAAAGCTGACGTTCAAGAAGGATTTAATTTTCAGCTATCTCGATTAAGATTTGGTTCAATGTAAATGTCTGTCTTTACATTCTTAAAAATAATATGTGTGGTTATTGTTCAGTGTAAACTTAAACAATAATAATATTATTGTATCTAGTTATATGTAACACAAAGAAATATTAAACATAACATAACAATAATTTTACATGTAAAACAATCAATTTAAACTAATGTTACTGTAATGCTGGAAAGTAGTTTAATAATTTAAACATTTTTTTGTAATTTATGAGTTAATTTTATCGCTAACAATGATGTAGTTCAAACTTTTAAATTTGACAGTAGAGGAATGGGACCACTTTTAGCAACAACAGCGCTGCTTCTTCTATTTCACACGGAATTTGTTCTTACAGGTAAATAAGTATTTATTTCTGCTATACTTTCAATTGATACACTTGTACCTTTGATAATTTATAGATGCTAAAGACTTTAGTAAAGTGCAATGAGGAATGCAAAATTAATTTTAGTTCATCTGATGACGATAACATGACCTCGAGATCGAATGAGCTATAAGAACTTCCTTTGAGTTCGTCATCCGTCGCCAACACTTTGATTTTATATTTTATTGTATGAATCTTTATAAAAACAAACATTTTAACTAATCGTGTCTTTTTTAAAGCTTTGACTTATTCGAACATCGTCCATTTTGCCTTAAAAGTGTGGTCCCATGTATTATCAGATGAAAAGGTTCAAAAAAACATTTTTGATAAGTTCTTTTTACCAATCGTAAATGGCAATAGCAAATATGCTTGATATTTTATATCAATAAGAAAAACAATTTTTTTAAATTTGATAATTTTAAAATTGTTTTGATAAAGGCGATAAAATGATAGCTCAAAATAATTCTTAAAGAGCAATGTTACAAACAATTGAAACATATTGCGGCTTTAACGCGGTGAATGATAAATAATGGTATGCATAATAGCTACATAAGCTACATATGCTTATAATTGAACTGAAGAACACAATTATTTACAACATTATACGCAGGAATAATTCCACCCAATGATATATTAAAGCGCACATATATTTTAAACAATACAGTACGTAGAATTAAAGAAAAATCTGACATTTATGAAAGTAAAGATGCTCTTCGTGTTTAGATTTTATAGAGTGCTTAATTCTTACATCGTTGAAAATAATTTGTGAAAAAATGATTAAATAAGAATAATGCATAGAAATCAAAATATTTACCTGTTTCTTCACCATAATCTAGAGTGTCCTTCTTGGTGTACTTCTTGTGTTGACTCAAGATGCAGGAATTGTGACCCATCGTTCTATTTAGCCAGTGATTATTGTCATCCTTGTCCAGAACATTGCCTTAGCTGTACAGACCAGATTAACTGCACGAAATGTAAAGCTAACAAGTGGGGTACAGGTGCGGCACAGTGCTTAACAGACTGTAGTAAAGAGTGTCTAAATGGTGAATGTCATGATGACACTGGATACTGTTTAAATTGTGAACATGGAAAATATGGACGTTTGTGCCAACATAATTGTAGTTACTGTAAGAATGATTATTGTGATTTATATAGATGTGTTGAAGGATGTAAATCCGGATATTTTGAATATCAGACTTTCAATAATGATTACGTTTGTCGAAAATGTACTCAGAATTGTAAACTCTGTGATAACGGGAATGTGTGTCAGATATGCAACGACGGCTTTTATTTTAATCAATTTTTTTACAATGACAACACATATGTTTACTGTGCTAAATGTTTAAATGAAAAAGAATGTAAAGATTTTTGCATTATTGAAGGATGTAAGTTATGTCAATTGGTTAATAACAAGCTAATTTGTGCAGACTGTTCCGAAGGAGAAACATTCAATGGCAGTTCATGCGAACAAATTACAAACCAGTGCTCTAAAGAATGTTCTACAAAATGTGGTAGTAATGGTATGTGTTTAGGAAACTGTAATGATGGTTGGACCGGTGACAGATGTACCGAAAGATGTAATGATGAATGCTTAATATGTTCAAAGAATGACAGAAATATTTGTATACAGTGTAATGGTGACTTTTACACAAATGATTGCAGCTTAGCTTGCAGCCAAACATGTAACATAGAAGTAGGTAAAAATACATGTACATTTGATGACGGTTATTGCATAAATGGATGTGAACGGAACTACTGGGGCGATACCTGTAATAATTCCTGCACTGAGGGTTGCCAAGATCATGACTGTGATAGAAGCACTGGTACATGTACGGCAGGATGTAAGGATGGAAATACCGGGGACAATTGTGTTCCCCATACCACAATCAATCAGGAAGGTCTTTTCTTTGAGTATCTAGAACTATTTCATGTTTTGTTTTAATATAATAGGAAGTTAACTAAATAACTTATTTGATGAAGTTTATCCAAACACCCTTATAGGAAAATAGTTAGCAACGTGTGTTTATTATTTTTATTTGTTTTGTTTGAAAAATTATTCTAGATAAAATATTTTAAGCTAAACAGTCAAAACAAGAAAAGCACAAATCATAAATCCATTAATCATATTGTTGCATCCAGTTCTAGTCACTTCACTGGACAAAGTCAATGATAAATATCAATAGTAAGAAAAAACACTGATTGCCTATCAAAAATCTCAGGTATTCATGTTTTCAACATTGAACGGTTTTAATATTAATTTCACAAATGTTAGCTGTTACACAGAAATAATGAACGTAGTAATGTAAATAAACTTCATTATTATTTAATTTTACTACAGAAACACCTGCTACAATAAAAACAACATCAACTTCAATGAAAGCAACATCAAATACAACAACAACATGTACACAAATTCAAGCATCTGAAGATAAGGTCAACTTTTTTATCATCGGATTTTTCTCTGGCATTGGATTTTCTCTTGTCACAGTGGCAATTGTTACATTGCTTTATTACATAAGACGAAGGTAAAACGCTTATTTAGATATATAATGTACAAATATTTAAGTTTTAAAACATGAAAATAAGCTGTCGTATTTTTTAAAGTTTGTCTTTAAAGACAATTCTAAACTACTTACCCTTTTCAATGCATCGTTATATATTTTGAAGCTGTTGAAGTAAAGCTATATCAAATGCAATATTTCCATAAAACTTTTAAACAATTCAAATATGATTTTCCTTAGTCTTATGATCGATGATTGGAAAAGATGTACCATAGAACCTCTTTTAATTAATACACAAACGCCCTGAATGCTGTATGCAAATATATTAAAAAGAAGCTATTTTAGTAGGGTTATGATGTCGTTCATGCACAATTCGCTCTTTGGGAAATATTCAAACCATTTTTCTTCTATAGAGATATTTTAAAAGTATTCTTTTTCAAAATTCAAATAATAACTGTATAAACTACTATGTCATTGCACGTTTAAAATTAATCTCCAAATGATGCCTTTACATTACCATAGAGATTATAAGTCATATATTCTATTGATAAATTGTGTTCTGTTCTTTAAAATAAACAGGTACTTTGGAAATAAAACAACTCAAAATAACAGCCGAAACGTTGAGATACCAACATATACTGAAACTGCAAATAATTACGAAAGTTTAAGTCACAACAGGACGAGGGATAATGTTTACAGCGGTATAGATTTAATTATTTAACATGATAATTTATCCGTTTAATATTTATTGTCATTCTTGTTTCGCCATAGTGTACGAACATTTGTAAAATGATTATATATATTTTAAAAAATATTTTTTACATTAAATGTATCCAAAGTGCATGAATTCCAATTACAATGAATTAAAAAGAAACACACGACTTGCGTGTGTGCTGGCGTGTGCGCGCGTGTACGTTTAATTTGTGGGTGCATTGGTCTTTTTCAATACATGTTATCTTCATTTCTTTGCAGATCTAGGAACAACAGAATAGAAGAGTTTTAAATGAACAGTGAAAATGCAGACGATGCATCAATGACATTTTTTTTTTATTGAAAACACATTTTTAATATGTAAAAGTAAATGAACGCATGTGACATGCGCATGAAAATAAATCGACTAATGTTTTTGTCTTATATTGCAAACGCCATACTTGTAAGAGTTGTAAAATTATTTTGACAAAACATCTGAAATGTTCTTTTGTTTAAATTTGACAACTTCTTTTATGAAACATTTTTCTTTATTTGTCGGCTACAGTTTCTTTATGAACAGTGTACAAACTTAATACATAACACTGTATTTCCAAATCACCTGCTGTGGACATCTTTGTCGAAGTGTACATATGATAACGACTTTATTATTACATGAAAACTAGACATAAACTATTATTTTAGTAAAATTCATTTTTTGTATACAAATATGCACATTTGGTTAAATAAGCATTGCTGGTGTTGCTTTGGGTGCTCTTAGCTCGTTAGCATTTTTGTTTGTGTAATAAATGTTTATAGGCATATAACAAATATATCAATATTCATATAAGACACTGGGTTGTATACGTGCGACAAAATATATATCACCCAATGTATTTTACCAGCAGCAGCGGACTATTTTGGGCGATTGCTTTAATTTTTCTGATTCCGTAAACTTGTAATTTTATAAAAGGTGAATGTTGCAAGTTTCTTCTTAATATATTTCTTGGGATATTTCTCCATTCAAATAATATTATATCTTGAAAATTGTTGAAAGATACTCCGCTATAATGACCACAAACTTGAATTACTTTTTGCTTGAGCAGCGTTCGCGTAGCGACATCTTTCGTACATGTGTTTTCATTGCCGCTCTTTTATGAACACAGTCAAAATTGTCTCCATCCGAAGTCAAGGTCAAGGTATTGGATTAAACTCATAATTATGTCAATAATAACTTTATGTGCACCTGGAGTTTGTGTCCCTCTTATTACTTCTGTATGCACGATGGGATTTTAAAAGAAAAATGTACCTTTAATCAACATGTGTTCTTTACAAGATGCAAGTCCGCATCTTCAAGTTCAATGCCATTTTTGGGGTCAAAAGTCAAATTCTGTTTGTCAAAGTCTTTGTCATATGTCTACATCTCAGTCAGACAGACCTATTTCTGCAACTTCAAGGTCAATGTTGAACTTTAAGGTAAGAAGTAACATTGTGTTTGTTAGCTTTGCTCTTTGGTTGATAACGTTTTCATTCCTTAATGTATAAAATTATTTGGCAGATGTCTTAAAAAGGATAACAGGGTTTGGCTTATTCAAAAACAAAGCCAAGGTGGTAGTTGCAGTTTAAAATGTCATGTTGCGGGGGTATTCCTATCGTTCAATAGATGTACCTTTAAAAGTTGCTGAGATAATATGTTCAGATAAGTTGAGAAAAATAATCAAGCCGGATATCTTTATCTTTCATTGGCTTTATTGTCTTTATCCTGAAATGTTGGGGTTTTGTTTTTTTGTTTTTTTGTTGTTGATTTTTTTCATTTATATTATCTATAAACACTAAATGGTTGTAAGTTTGACAAACTAAAATTGTACTTTAATGTGTTGTGCAATTATATAGTACTGCATTAAAATGCATAATAAAAAGTCATTATTTAATTTATCAAACAAAATTGAATATACTTTCCTGCATAGTCATAGTAAATGGATCAATAATGATATTATATATTATAATTTCACTTGACAAAATTGAAACACACATACGCTTGTTTGTTCGTCTCTGTGTCAGTCACATGAAGTGGGAGGCATATGTGTCCCAGGAATATCTTTTCTCTTTCATTAAAAATAACAATATGACGAAAATCATACATTTGTATGTTAGTTGTTCTGTTATGGTAGAGGCAACGCATAAATCGAAATTAGTTAAAACCGGGCTATGTTTTCAAAGCGGCTCACTTGTTAAAGAGCATGTTGTAAATAAGATTTCATGTTTTAATTAAAAAAAACAAAACAAAAAAAAACAAAAAACAATTTGTTGCAAATAACCTGGAGACTTATAAGTTACATTCTCATTCTACTCTAAAACATGGTTTGTAAGTTCATTAAATGATATGTGGTAGTGACGTATCAGTAGTGCCGGTTGTGCATATTATAATTTAGTTCGTAATCTATAACAGATAAGTAAGAAAGTTGAAACGATATTTTCTTTCCTTTAGCAAATGAATTTTATACTTATTCCCAATATAATTATCTAACATGGTAAGAGTTTACAACAGATACAAGTTGCGAAGAATATCTACTGAAATAAGAGCGATCATTGTAAAATATGAAAAATCGCGGATGAGCCAGACTTTATCAAATGCACGCGGACGAGGCTGACTATATAAAATACCCACGGACGAGGCTGACTATATAAAATGCACGCGGACGAGGCTGACTATATAAAATACCCACGGACGAGGGTGATTTATATAAAATGCACCGCGAACGAGGCTGACTATATAAGATACCCACGGACGAGGCTGACTATATAAAATACCCACGGACGAGGCTGACTATATAAATTGCACACGGACGAGGCTGACTATATAAATTGCCAACGGACGAGGCTGACTATATAAAATACCCACGGACGAGGCTGACTATATAAAATGCACGCGGGCAAGGCAGACTATATATAAAATGCCTCCTATATATAGCTGATATAAAAACCGTACCATAATGTAATTTGTGTATCCGCGTAAATAGATGACAACATCTAATGATCTTTTCTGTGTAATTATGCTATTAATTCTGTTTAAAACCGCAGGTAAGTCCCTTTAAATGCTAATTCTTGTAAAATCATAACATCATACTATTAGTACGTAGGGTATGTCTCAACCTGCTTTTATTTCGTGTAAATGCTTAGAGATTCTTTACAAAAATATATACAAATATGCATTATTAAGTAAAGGTAAATTTTAAAACAAATTTGAATGCAGCTATTTACTATGGCTACTGATGCGTAGCCAAATATCCATGTTTGTGAATGGAAGGTTTGAACAATTTAACAGGTAAAGGCTAAACTAGTGGTATAAATTTACTTCCGCCTCGGTTGTATGAAGTATATTAAATGAAATAATTTAATTTTATATGTGTTGGAGTTAACAAAAGGTAAAGTATTTTAATCTTAAACTTTATTTTAATTTTTTAACACTTTATGTATAATAGCTTTTAGCAAAACATGATTGTTAAAACTTTAAATTTGGGTATAGTTATTGTTCATGCAGTGTTAAAAAGATCAATATCTGGAGCAAAAAGCATAATGTCTTTAAAATTTACGTTTAAATAGTGTCCAGAATTATGTTACACAAATAAAAATCTTAAAGTAAGACATGTTTGTATCTGATATAAAGATAAACTTAAACCAAAGTTACCATAATAACGGAAAGTAGTTTTATGATTTTATTTTTATGTTTATATTTTGAAATTTATCAGTTAATCTAATCGACAGAAACGGTTTATTTAACACTTTTAGATTTGACACAAGAGGAATGAACAATTTTAGCAACAATAGCAGTGCTTCTTCTATTACAAACAGAGTTCGTTGTTACAGGTAAATGAGTCTCTGTTTATTTGTGTTGCACAAACAGATTACTTTTCTGCTAATACTTTCAATCCGCACACTTTTATCTTAGGTAATTTATAGAAGCTGAAGGCAGTTGTGACATGCAAAATGTATTAAACATTGTAATTCATCTGAGCATGAAAAAACCTTGAGCTATTCTGCCATCCATCCTTTACTGTTTGATGTTGCTTATTTCGTATATATATGATTCTTTATTAAAATTTAAAAAAAAACATTTTCACTAATCGGGTCTATCTTAAAGCTTGTAAATATTTGGACATCTGTCGTTCATGGCTTAAAACTGTCCCGATGTCTTATCAGATGAACTTTTCTTAGAAAACATTTTAAATCGCTAAGTAAAATGAATTATACAGTAACACCAGTAAATATCCTTTATAATTATATAAAATAAGATAAGAACAATTTTAGATCGCAAAATATTTGCAAATGTTTTTGACAAAGCAAAAAGATGATATGCATTGTGTGTTTATATCTTGCATTGTCGGGTTTACACAAAAGTTTTTTAAATATTCTTTTATTTTCATAAATATTATCACAGTAAATATTTAGAAAATATTTTATGACAAAGGAGGAAACAAGAATTATGATATGAAATCAAAATGTTTACCTGTTTTTCTTTTTTTCAACTTTATAAACAGTGTCCTTCTGGGTGCGTTTCCTGTCTTGACTCAATGTGCACGAATTGTGAGCCATCATTCTATTAAGCATATATTAATTAGACGCCGCGTGCACGCGGTGGCTGGTAGATATGCATTCGTCTATTCTGCAATGGGGAAATTTTTAGTCTTGCTTTTGTCTTTTTTATTTTAACAATCACATTGTTTTCATATTTTTTTGATAAAATGTCTTTTCTGATCTTCAACGTGTAACAGAGCTTTAAAAGCTTTAAAATAAAAGTTTTACTGAAGTGATAGTGCCATGTTTGCATATCATATTCTTTTTATTTATATCATTTTTATTTACCTAATAAATAACGAGTCAATCAGCCAATCTACTTTATAATGACGGGAACCATATTCGGACAGAGAACAAGAGGAATAATTAAAATACGCAACTGAGATTGGTTTCGCGCAACGGACATATCTTTTGCAAAACAGGCACAACGTATGCTTATTCATATAAATAATTACTCTTTAAGTTCTTAAACAGATTAATTGAGTGAAAAAAGTAAGTTTGTTTTACAATATATCATAAATATTTGCAATAGGTTGTTGACGATTGTTCTCTTTTGCTTAGATTTAGTGGTTCAATACCTAAATTTCCCGGTAATTTAATTGTAAACAAATATGCAATCTTGTTTAATCAAATAAGTTAATCTTTTATTAATTAGTAAACAATACATAACAAAGAATTGATTATATTTGACAATTAAGTCATATCTATTATTTGATATTACATACATATGTTTTGCTATTTGTAAAATAACAGCAGACATTTTCACAAAAAATCTTATGATTTATCTAAAGTTTTTGACTTACGATAATCGTAAGTTAAATCTTAAGTCATTTTCACAAAGCCACTCGTAAGTCAAAATTTTATCTTAAGATAAAAATTTCACTTACGATAAATCTTACAATTAAAACATCCCTAGCAACCTCATTTCATATTGATGTGCATGCTCTATATTTGATTCCGGTTTTAAAATCAAGTAATAAAGAGCTTGAAATATGTATTGAACACAATCAAGGTAGATTTCTATAATAAGAACAAAAAAGTTATTCAAACTGATATAGAATCTATTTTCTGTCTTGATTGAAAATAATTTTATGTATCTAAGTGATTCAGAAACAAAGTCTGCTACGTTATTGCTAAGGTAAAAATAAATATAAAGGTGCCACTAGTACATACTGACAATGAAATCGAACTCAAGAAATTGTACAAATTACATAGTTTTCAATAATACTACAGTATAGTTCACATTTAAACTATTCATAACCCTCTCCATCGTGACGTCATCAAGTCATGACGTCACAAATTTTTATGTTGAAAAATAACTATACCTTAATTTGTGTTTTTATAGCTTACTGTTTGCTTAATATAGATCTATATTTGTCTTCCATTTTTTTTTTTTATTCAGTTAAGATAAAAGATAGATCTACATGATATTTTTACTCTTAAGAGAAAAAAAATACACTCACGAACGGGGAACACCTATCATAAAGTTACGACAGATTTTGCACTAAAGATTTTCTTAAGATTTTTTGTGAAAAGGAGATTTATCGTAAGATTTTCTTACGATAAAAATTGTCGTAAGATTTTTTGTGAAAATGTCTGCAGAACAGTACGTCCTCAAAATCATTGGAACGTTATGCAATTCACCCCAATATCAATATTTTTAGGACGCATGATTTCATCCCCTTCAAGTATGTATACCTATCATTTCATTTATCCAGTTTATTTTGCTTCCACCAGTCCTTTCAATTTTTGTCGCAACAAAAAAACATCTCAGAATTTCAGACATGGCATTACTTTGTGAATTTATGCTTTAGGTTTCACTTTTTCACAAAGTATGCAACTTAATTATAAAACAACGAACACATACCATGAACATGAAGAAAAATTGATCGGTGCTTCGGATATTTAAATGTAATAGAGAACAATTTTCAAGGCTAATTTTGTACATTACCTGTGACTGTTCACATCATTTAGCGGCGTCTTTGATGTGCAGCATCAACATTTAACTTATTATTTGACTGAAGTACACAATAATTTACAACAGTATATGGAGGAGTGATTTCCATCAAATGATATGGAAGCGCAAATATCTCTTAAACAGATCGTTAATGAAAATAATCTGACATTTTAAAAAAGATGTTCTTCCTTTTTAGATTCTATAGAGTTCTCAATTCTTACATTGACATGTCTCAACAAAATAGTTTTGAAATAATTTAAATAAGAATAATGTATAGAATTAAAAAATATTTACCTATTTCTTCACCATTATCTAGAGTGTCCTCCTTGGTGCACTTCTTGTCTTGACTCAACATGCATGGAATGTGAACCATCGTACTATTTTGCTGGTGACAATTGTCATCCTTGCCCAGACAGTTGTCTTAGCTGTACAGACCAGACTAACTGCACGAAATGTAAAATTTACAAGTGGGAAACTGGTGTGTCACAGTGCATACAAGACTGTAGTAAAGAGTGTCTAAATGGTGAATGTCATGATGACACTGGATACTGTTTACATTGTGAACATGGAAAATATGGACGAAAATGCCAACATAATTGTAGTTTATGTAAGAACGATAAGTGTGATTTATATAGATGTGTTGAAGGATGTAAATCCGGATACTTTGAATACCAGACTTCTAATGATTACTTTTGTCAAAAATGCTCAACTTATTGTAAACAATGTGATAATGGAACTGTTTGTCGGATATGCAACGACGGCTTTTATTTGAATGTATATTATTACAATGGCAAAACAATTGTTAACTGTGCTAAATGTCTTAATGAAAATGAATGTTCAAATTATTGTTTAATTCCGGGATGTCATCAATGTATAATTTTTAGCAACAGGCCGATGTGCGCAGATTGTCCTGAAGGAGAAACATTTAACGGAGTTTCATGTGAACAAAATGGACACCATTGTACCCGCTGTCCTACAAACTGTGATAGTAATGGTATACTTTTACTTAACAAATAACATTCTAACAACTCTAATTGTTTGGAGAATTTACTTAACTTACCCCCCCCCCCCCAAAAAAAAAAAAAAAAAAAATCTCTAGAAAAAAATATTTACGTGTGTTTAATTTTTTACTTTTTTTCCCCATTTCTGTCACTTAACAAAATCAATGGTAAATACAAACAGTAAGTAAAATACTGATTGAATATTTTTAAATTATTTTCTTGAATTTTAAGTGTTACATAACTAAGTAAAAGTAGTAATTTAACCAAACTTTAATTGCAGAAACACTTGTTACAATTAATACGACAGCAACATCAACGACAACAACACCATGTACACAAAATCAAGCATCTGAAGATAAGGTCATATTTACTACCATCGGATTTTTCTCTGGCATTGGATTTTCTCTTGTCATAGTGGCAATTGTTACATTACTTTATTTCATAAGACGAAGGTAGCATCTTTATTGAAATATAAAATATAATAATCTTTATGTTTGAAAGTATTAAAAACAAGCTGTCATAAGTTTGCCTTTCAAGACAGTTCTAAACTTCTTACCCTATTCAAAGCATCATTATATATTTTAAAGCTGTTAAAGTAAAGCTATATCAAATGCAATATTTTCATAAAACAATTAAAATGTTTTTCCTTAGTCTTATGAACGATTTTTGGAAAAGTTTAACCATAGAACGTCACTGTTAATTAACAAACAAACGTCATGAATGCTGCATGAAAACATATTAAAAATAAGCTATTTTTGTAGAGTTAACCTATTTAGTAATGATGTCGTTCATGCACCATGTATTCTTTTTCAAAATTCAAATAATAACTTTATAAACTACTATGTCATTGTACCTTTAAAATTATTCTCAAAATGCTGCCTTTGCATTACCATAGAGATTATAAGTCAGTTTTCTATTGATGAATTGAGTTCTGTTCTTTAAAATAAACAGGTACCTTGAAAAAACAGCTCAAAATAACAGCCTAAACGTTGAGATTCCAACATATACTGAAAGTGCAAATAATTACGAAAGTTTAAGACACAACAGGACGAGGGATAATGTTTACAGCGGTATAAAATTTAATTATTTAACTTAATAATTCCTCAGTTTATAATTATTGTCATGCTTGTTTCGCCATAGTGTAAAATGATCACATATATATTTTAAAAAATATTTGTTTTATCAAATGTATCCAAAATGCATGCATTCAAATTACAATGAATAAAGAAGAGAAACACATGACTGTGTGTGTGCGTGCGTGCGTGCGTGTATGTGCGTGCGTACATGTGCATCGTGTGGGTGGATAGGTCTTTTTCAATTTATGTATATTCTTCATTTTTTGCAGATCTAGGAACAACAGAATAGAAGAGTTTTAAATGAACAGTGAAAATGCAGACGATGCATCAATGACATTGTTTTCTATTTTTATTGAAAACACATTCTTGATATGTAAAAGTAAACGAACGCACGTGACAAGCGCATGGAAGTAAAAAATGTTGTTTTTGTCTGATATGGCAAACGCCAAACTTGTAAGACTTGTAAAACTTGCTAGCTCAATGTTTACAAATATGTATTATGTGTATAATGTGTTGAAAATTCTTATGACAAAACATCTGAAATGTTTTTTGTTTGAATTTGACAATTCTTTTATGAAACATTTTTCTTTATTTGTCGGCTACTGTTTGTTTATGAAGAGTGTACATACTTAATACATAACATTGTATTTCCAAATCACCTGTGAACATCTTTGTCGAAGTGTACATATGATAACGACTTTATTATTACATGAAAACTAGACATAAACTTTTATTTTAGTAAAATTCATTTTTTGTATACAAATACGCACATTTGGTTAAATAAGCATTGCTGGTGTTGCTTTGGGTGCTCTTAGCTCGTTAGCGTTTTTGTTTGTGTAATAAATGTTTATAGGCATATAACAAATATGTCAATATTCATATAAGACACTGGGTTGCATACGTGCGACAAAATATATATCACCCAATGTATTTTACCAGCAGCAGCGGACTATTTTGGGCGATTGCTTTAATTTTCCTGATTCCGCAAACTTGTAATTTTATAAAAGGTGAATGTTGCAGGTTTCTTTCTTAATATATTTCTTTGCATATTTCTCCATTCAAATAATATTATGTCTTGAAAATTGTTGAAAGATACTCCGCTATAATGACCACAAACTTGAATTACTTTTGCTTGAGCAGCGTTCGCGTAGCGACATCTTTCGTACATGTGTTTTCATTACCGCTCTTTTATGAACACAGTCAAAATTGTCTCCATCCGAAGTCAAGGTCAAGGTATTGGATTAAACTCATCATTATGTCAATAATAACTTTATGTGCATCTGGAGTGTGTGTCCCTCTTATTACTTCTGTATGCACGATGGGATTTTAAAAGAAAAAGGTACCTATAATCAACATGTGTTCTTTACAAGATGCAAGTCCGCATCTTCAAGTTCAATGCCATTTTTGGGGGTCAAAAGTCAAATTTTGTTTGCCTTATAACTCTGTCGTAACTTGAATTATTGTCAAAGTCTTTGTCATATGTCTACATCTCAGTCAGACAGACCTATTTCTGCAACTTCAAGGTTAATGTTGAACTTTAAGGTAAGAAGTAACATTGTGTTTGTTAGCTTTGCTCTTTGGTTGATAACGTTTTCATTCCTTAATGTATAAAATTATTTGGCAGGATTTGGCTTATTCAAAGACAAAGCCAAGGTGGTAGTTGCAGTTTAAAATGTCATGTTGCGGGGGTATTCCTATCGTTCAATAGATGTACCTTTAAAACTTGCTGAGATTATATGTTTAGATCAGTTGAGAAAAATAATCAAGCCGGATATCTTTATCTTTCATTGCTTTATTGTCTTTATCCTGAAATGTTTGGGGGGTTTTGTTTTTGTTTTTTTGTTGTTGATTTTTCAGTTTATATTATCTATAAACACTAAATGGTTGTAAGTTTGACAACTAAAATTGTACTTTAATGTGTTGTGCAATATATAAGTACTGCATTAAAATGCATAATAAAAAGTCATTATTTAATTTATCAAACAAAATTGAATATACTTTCCTGCATAGTCATAGTAAAATGGATCAATAATGATATTATATTATATATTCACTTGACAAAATTGAAACACACATACGCTTGTTTGTTCGTCTCTGTGTCAGTCACATGAAGTGGGAGGCATATGTGTCCCAGGAATATCTTTTCTCTTTCATTAAAAATAACAATATGACGAAAAGCATACATTTGTATGTTAGTTGTTCTGTGAAGGTAGAGGCAACGCAGAAATCGAAATTAGTTAAAACCGGGCTATGTTTTCAAAGTGGCTCACTTGTTAAAGAGCATCTTGTAAATAAGTTTTCATGTTTTAATTAAAAAAACAAAACAATTTGTTGCAAATAACATGGAGACTTATACGTTACATTCTCTTTCACTCTAAAACATGGTTTGTAAGTTCATTAAATGATATATGTGGTAGTGCCATATCAGTAGTGTCGGTTGTGCATATTGTAATTTAGTTCGTAATCTATAACAGATAAGTGAGAAAGTTGTAACGATATCTTCATTCCTTTAACATATGAAATTTATACTTCCCAATATGATTATCAAGCATGGTAAGTGTTTACAACAGATACAAATCGCGTAGAATTTTCACTGCAATAAGAGCGATCATTGCAAAATATGAAATGCCCACTTTATTAAATGCCCGCAGACGAATCAGACTATATAAAATCTCGCAGACGAGTCAGACTTTATAAAATGTCGCGGACGAGGCAGACTTTATAAAATGTCGCGGACATGTCAGACTATATAAAATGTCGCGGACGAGTCGCACTATATAAAATGTCGCGGACGAGTCAGACTATATGAAATGTCGCAGACGAGTCAGACTATATAAAATGTCGCGGACGAGTCAGACTATATAAAATGTCGCGGACGAGACAGACTTTATAAATAGCCCGCGGAAGAGGCTGACTACATGTATATAAAATGACCGCGAACGAGGCATACTATATAAAATTTCTGCGGACGAGGCTGACTATATAAAATTCCCGCGGACGAGGCAGATCTTATATAGCTGTTACAATGTAATTTGTGTATACGCGTACATAGATGAAAGCATCTAGTGATCCTATCAATGCTTTTAAGGACCACGGGGAAGTCCCTTTAAATGCTTATTCTTGTAAAATCATAACATCATAATATTAGTACGTAGGGTATATCTCAACCTGTTTTTATTTCTCGTAAATGCTGAGAGAATCTTTACAAAAATATATACAAATATGCATTATTAAATAAAGGTGAATTTTAAAACTAATTTGAATGCAGCTATTTACAATGGCTACTGACGTGTAATTATGCTATTAATTCTGTTTAAAGACCGCAGGTAAGTCCCTTTAAATGCTTATTCTTGTAAAATCATAACATCATAATATTAGTACGTATGGTATATCTCAACCTGTTTTTATTTCGTGTAAATGCTGAGAGATTCTTTACAAACATATATACAAATATGCATTATTAAGTAAAGGTGAATTTTAAAAGCTATTTACTATGGCTACTGACGCGTAACCAAATATCCATGTTTGTGAATGGAAGGTTTGAACGATTTAACAAGTAAGTGCTAAACTAGTGGTATAAATTTACTTCCGCCTCGGTTGTATGAAGTATATTAAATGAAATAATTTGATTTTATATGTGTTGGAGTTAACAAAAGGTAAAGTATTTTAGTCTTAAACTTTATATTAATTTTTTAACACTTTATGTATAATAGCTTTTAGCAAAACATGATTGTTAAAACTTTAAATTTGGGTATAGTTATTGTTCATGCAGTATTAAAAAGATCAATATCTGGACCAAAAAGCATAATGTCTTTAAAATTTACGTTTAAATAGTGTCCAGAATTATGTTACACAAATAAAAATCTTAAAGTAAGACATGTTTGTATCTGATATAAAGATAAACTTAAACCAAAGTTACCATAATAACGGAAGGTAGTTTTATGATTTGATTTTATGTTATATTTTGAAATTTATCAGTTAATCTAATCGACAGAAACGGTTTATTTAACACTTTTAGATTTGACACAAGAGGAATGGAACAATTTTTAGCAACAATAGCAGTGCTTCTTCTATTACAAACAGAGTTCGTTGTTACAGGTAAATGAGTCTCTGTTTATTTGTGTTGCACAAACAGATTACTTTCTGCTATACTTTCAATCCGCACACTTTTATCTTAGGTAATTTATAGAAGCTGAAGGCAGTGGTGACATGCAAAATGTATTAAACATTGTAATTCATCTGAGCATGAAAAAACCTTGAGCTATTCTGCCATCCATCCTTTACTGTTTGATGTTGCTTTTTTCGTATATATATGGATCTTTATTAAAATTAAAAAAAACATTTTCACTAATCGGGTCTATCATAAAACTTGGACATCTGTCGTTAATGGCTTAAAACTGTCCCGATGTCTTATCAGATGAACTTTTCTTAGAAAACATTTTAAATCGCTAAGTAAAATGAATTATACAGTAACACCAGTAAATATCCTTTATAATTATATAAAATAAGATAAGAACAATTTTAGATCGCAAAATATTTGCAAATGCTTTTGACAAAGCAAAAATATGATATGCATAGTGTGTTTATATCTTGCATTGTCGGGTTTACACAAAAGTTTTTTAAATATTCTTTTATTTTCATAAATATTATCACAGTAAATGTTTAGAAAATATTTTATGACAAAGGAGGAAACAAGAATTATGATATGAAATCAAAATGTTTACCTGTTTTTCTTTTTTCAACTTTATAAACAGTGTCCTTCTGGGTGCGTTTCCTGTCTTGACTCAATGTGCACGAATTGTGAGCCATCATTCTATTAAGCATATATTAATTAGACGCCGCGTGCACGTGGTGGCTGGTAGATATGCATTCGTCTATTCTGCAATGGGGAAATTTTTAGTCTTGCTTTTGTCTTTTTTATTTTAACAATCACATTGTTTTCATATTTTTTTGATAAAATATCTTTTCTGATCTTCAACATGTAACAGAGCTTTAAAAGCTTTAAAATAAAAGTTTTACTGAAGTGATAGTGCCATGTTAGCATATCATATTCTTTTTATTTATATCATTTTTATTTACCTAATAAATAACGAATCAATCAGCCAGTCTACTTTATAATGACGGGAACCATATTCGGACAGAGAACAAGAGGAATGACTAAAATACGCAACTGAGATTGGTTTCGCGCAACGGACATATTTTTTGCAAAACAGGCACAACGTATGCTTATTCATATAAATAATTACCCTTTAAGTTCTTAAACAGATTAATTGAGTGAAAAAAGTAAGTTTGTTTTACAATGTATCATAAATATTTGCAATAGGTTGTTGACGATTGTTCTCTTTTGCTTAGATTTAGTGGTTCAATACCTAAATTTCCCGGTAATTTAATTGTAAACAAATATGCAACCTTGTTTAATCAAATAAGTTAATCTTTTATTAATTAGTAAACAATACATAACAAAGAATTGATTATATTTGACAATTAAGTCATACCTATTATTTGATATTACATACATATGTTTTGCTATTTGTAAAATAACAGAACAGTACGTCCTCAAAATCATTGGAACGTTATGCAATTCACCCCAATATCAATATTTTTAGGACGCATGATTTCATCCCCTTCAAGTATGTATACCTATCATTTCATTTTTACTTGTTATCCAGTTTATTTTGCTTCCACCAGTCCTTTCAATCTTTGTCGCAACAGACAAACATTTCAGAATTTCAGACATGGCATTACTTTGTGAATTTATGCATTAGGTTTCACTTTTTCACAAAATATGCAACTTTATTATAAAACAACGAACACATACCATGGACATGAAGAAAAATTGATTAGTGCTTCGGATATTTAAATATAATAGAGAACAATTTTCAAGGCTAATTTTGTACATTACCTGTGACTGTTCACATTATTTAGCGGCGTCTTTGATGTGCAGCATCAACATTTAACTTATTATTTGACTGAAGTACACAATAATTTACAACAGTATATGGAGGAGTGATTTCCATCAAATGATATGGAAGCGCAAATATCTCTTAAACAGATCGTTAATGAAAATAATCTGACATTTTAAAAAAGATGTTCTTCCTTTTTAGATTCTATAGAGTGCTCAATTCTTACATTGTCATGTCTCAACAAAATATTTTTGAAATAATTTAAATAAGAATAATGTATAGAATTAAAAAATATTTACCTATTTCATCACCATTATCTAGAGTGTCCTCCTTGGTGCACTTCTTGTCTTGACTCAACATGCATGGAATGTGAACCATCGTACTATTTAGCTGGTGACAATTGTCATCCTTGCCCAGACAGTTGTCTTAGCTGTACAGACCAGACTAACTGCACGAAATGTAAAATTTACAAGTGGGAAACAGGTGTGTCACAGTGCATACAAGACTGTAGTAAAGAGTGTCTAAATGGTGAATGTCATGATGACACTGGATACTGTTTACATTGTGAACATGGAAAATATGGACGAAAATGCCAACATAATTGTAGTTTATGTAAGAACGATAACTGTGATTTATATAGATGTGTTGAAGGATGTAAATCCGGATACTTTGAATACCAGACTTCTAATGATTACTTTTGTCAAAAATGCTCAACTTATTGTAAACAATGTGATAATGGAACTGTTTGTCGGATATGCAACGACGGCTTTTATTTGAATGTATATTATCACAATGGAAACACATATGTTAACTGTGCTAAATGTCTTAATGAAAATGAATGTTCAAATGTTTGTTTCATTCAAGGATGTAAATTATGTCAATTGGTTGATAACAAGCCAAGATGCTCAGATTGCTCTGAGGGAGAAATATTTAACGGCAATTCATGTGAACAAATTGCGCACAAGTGCTCACAGGGATGTTCTACTAACTGTGACAGTTATGGTATATGTTTAGGAAACTGTAATGATGGTTGGGCTGGTGAAAGATGTACCGAAAGATGTAATGAAAAATGCTTGATATGCTCAAACAATGACAGGAATATTTGTGTACAGTGTAATGGCAACTTTTACTCAAACAATTGCAGTTTACCTTGTAGTAAATCATGTAAAATAGAAGAAGGTAAACAAACATGTACATTAGAAGACGGTTATTGCTTAAATGGATGTGGACAAGACTACTGGGGCGATACCTGTAATAATTCCTGCCCTGAGGGTTGCCAAGATCATGTCTGTGATAGAAGCATTGGTTCATGTACGAGAGGATGTAATAATGGATATACCGATCAAAAGTGTGGTCTCACTACTACAATAAATCGAAAAGGTTATTCTTTTGATTGTTATAAGCATAGTACAAGTTTTCATTTTAATATGTTAATTACGAAACTAAATAACATCATAAAACTCTAATTTGCAAGTGAGTGCACTAAGATTATCGAAATAATTTCTTAAAAAAATAATTTGGATATTTCTATTATTTAAAAATATTGTCTCTTTTAGCCTCTTCTTTCATTAATCTTGAGATAATGAACATTTATTTTAGCTATATTTTAATGATAATTTTTTATGACAGTAATGCACTCGAAATTAGTAGAAATGTTAAAGATATACAATAAATCATTTATAAATAAGTAAACTAACATTATACTCAAATCTCTCATGTATATGTCTGAATTGAATAATTAGTGAAAGTGTGTTTACTTTTATTTTTACTTTTTTTATCTTTAATTTTCATTTTGGTAAATAATTGTAGAAACAAATGTTATAAATTATACAGACATAACAAGTTTAACACAAACAAGTTCAACTACAACTGTAACTGAGAGTTCTCAAGAAAAACAGCAAAGAAAAGAAGACAACAATGATATAATCATCATTGGAGCTTCGGCAGGAGGAGGTTTTCTTGTTCTGATATTGATTATAGTTCTGGGTTTGTGTTTGCTTAAAAGAAGGTAAATATTTACTATTCGATATTTGAATTAATTTCTATTTTAAAGGGACTCCAATGAGGTTTTTTGACATGATGGGGCTGAGAATATTTTTTCCAGATAATTGTACCATTTGATGTAGGTTTAAACCACTAATCTTTGTGCAAAATTTCAGATCATTCGCGCTTCGTTTTTCCAGAATAATTATTCAAATTGTAAAAAAGTGACCCAAACTGAAAAGCGTTTAAACGCTTTTTACTCAAATCGGGCTAAGAAAGTTATATTTCAATTTATTTCAAAGTATATTTCCTAACTACCTTTGCATATATTTCCGTTTAAAGTGTCCCAGCTCATTTATGTAGGAAATTCCAATTTTATGTTTTTAGGCTTTTAAACCTCAGTGGAGTCCCTTTAAAGGTACAGTAATCCCCAGAATGTTTTTTTTCTTTTTGTGAAAAAGGGCAAACATATCATTTATATTGTTGTAATAATGTGTTTAAAATATGCAAGATTCTTATCACCGAGGAAAATAACACTGAATGTGAAATAATTTGAGAGAAAGGTAAACATAAATTTTGTCTCTCGTGCAAATAAAAGACACTATAATTTTACTGATTGCCGAATAGCAAAGGAAGTTAAAGCTGACTCATTGAGTAACATTTTGGAAATTTTACAGTACATTAAGAAATAACAAAGCTTTAAAAAATAAGATATTAGCATTTTTAGACTCAATAAGCCTTTAAGTTCCAATATGTGCCGTTTATAGTTAATGTTAATATTTTGAAGCAAGACCAATAATGAATATAGAAACATCTATCATTCATGGCACTTTAGGCCCCGTTTATCAAAACTTGAGTTCGACATGTGAATGCACATATTGACTTGTATTTTAAATATTTCATAAAAGAAAGTATAAGCAATTCATTTTATATTTATTTATATGATATTAATTTACAGTATTTTTGTATCTCAGAAAAAAGTCCTCTGTTCATGAACCTGTTCAACACGAAGAGGTGGTCGCAGAAAATCAAAGTATGCGTTACTTTAAATATTACATAGAGAATTAATTATTACATACATAGAGAATTAATTATTACACAAGTTTTGAAAAACTATAATGTTATTATTATTATATTTATAGTAACTGTTATATAAACTAGCACGAGTACTAGTTTTTAAACCGTCAAGTATTTATTTGCACATTTCTCATGTATATCTATCATTTAATTACCTAAATTGTCAAATTGACTAAAGAATAAATTAAAAACCTCTTTCTCAATTTTTTCATAAAAAAAAACATTTTAAACATTTGTCTAAATCTCTTCAATTTATCATGAACTGTTTAAGTTCAGGATATGTATGCAAAACCAATGAAGAAACCAGCAGAAAATCAAGAAAATCAGGACTACATCTATGCACAACCTAACAAATTACAAAAGGTCAAGAAGCCTAGTACGAGGGAAATAAGCAAACCAAAGACAATGTATGACAACGTAACAATAGATTTAGATGATGAAACAGCAGTATCAAGTAATACGTACGCGAATGTTTCCATTGACATAAATGCTGATAGAGTGTCACAAGATGAAACTGATGTTGATGAAATCGAGTTAGAAGAACTAGATGAGGGAAGCTCTAAACTTATAGACACAGGTTAGTTCACAGTATTAATGATGAGTTAGCATGTAGAACTTGTATGTCTGGTGAATGATATTATAAATGTCTTTCTCAGTTGAATGTAATATTATTAGTTATAGGTCTGATCTACAATGTGTGAAAGGAGATGGAGATTGTTTAAGACATTTCTTCAAGCATGCTAGTTAAAATTTGAATATCTGTAATATAATTGCAATATTAATTCAAATGTCACTTTATAGGCTCTTTATTCATCATAAACATTCTATTACAGAGGTAAACCCACCGAGTGCTGATTTATATTACAATACAGCAAGTCTGGTACGAAGCCGAATACAAGTATCTGATTTACTAGAGTACGTCAGGAAGAAGACTGATTATGAAGATGAATTTGAGGTTAAGTATTAGTTGTTATCACATAAACTTTCCAGGATATGGGAAATTATGTATTACTAAGGTCTTGAAAATAAAACTCCTTATTTATTTACTAATTTAAGATTAGAACAATATATCTTAAATATATACATACAGTGCAAATGGCTAGATAATAACAATGAGCATATTAACTGAATTTAATAACCTGTGTAACTTTTCACATGGTATGAACTAATTTGTTTTATAATTCATTTTTTTAGAAACTACCAAAGGGTTTGACAAGAACATGTGACGAAGCTCTTACTCGTAAAAATCGCGGGAAAAATAGATACAACGGAGTGTATGCATGTAAGTATATTTTCTTATGCTACAAGTCATTTTAAAATTTGCATTTGTCTATTCATTTTCACTTTAAGTATTAAAAGCATTTGACATAAAATTCTATTTTCATGTAGTCTTTTTATATATCTTTATACTTACGTCAACTTCTAATGATGTTGGTGATTATCTATATTATATTTCAGATGATGCGACTCGTGTCGTTCTTCAAAGTAAAACCTATATCAACGCAAATTACATTGACGTAAGTATACACTTATGATGTGATAAGTAAACAAAATTCCAATTTTGTTGAAACTACATTAAACTGTTGATTTAATCTTTATTCGTTCTGTTTTAGAATGATAATATGATAATATGTGAGATGTATTTTTAAATGATTTCAAATATAAGTAGATTCCTTTGAAAATTCGATTTTCGTCATCAGACTATTTTGTATAGATTATTAGAAATATCAAAATCATTTCTCAGTTAAATCATTCATGCTCACCAGCTTGTAGTTTGTTAATATCAAGGATGAACACAGTGAATGTACTTAAGGTATTCCTGTGTTAGAAAGTATTAGAAACAAATGCATATTTTAATGTATAAAATGATTTGTTTATTATTGATATTTCTACATAAACACGCAAAATGCCTTCATTTTCTGTTTGTTGTAATGTAATTTTGTTTCATACATTAGGGACACAAAGACTCACCAGAGTATATAGCTTCCCTTGGTATGTATATGAATTGATTGTTTTATTAAGTAATTGTTCAAAATAAGTAGTCAGACTCACAATCATACATTGCTGTCGTTTGTCTGTTATTATAACAGGGTCTGTCAAATTCCTGCTAACATTATCACTTTATTATTTTTTCCCCT